ATCATATATGCATTTGGCCTTTGTTGCCCAATGGCTAGTGCCATTGAAAAAGTACATATCTCCCTCTCCTGGTCGGGTTTCGAACCCGGCTCATACCTAGTTCTTTTAAAAAAAAAAAAAAAAAAACCACTAATCATATATATATATATATATATATATAGATTTTCAAGTTAACCTATAGGATAAAAGTGTAAGAGTGCTTTTGAAAAGACTTAAACACCATTAATGAATCAATATGTATGGGTAATTCACTAAAGATATTTAAATAATTTTATAGATATTTCTGCACACTTTTCTTGTAGTTTAATCATAAAAATACTTTTTTGATAAATATATTAAATAAAATTTAACCACAAATGAAAGTAAGAAATTAAACTTCTAAAATAAAATAATATTAAACTATAAACTTAATAGTGAAATTAAAAATATCATTTTAAATAGACAATTTACAAAAAGTAATTCATATTTATATAATTAAAAAAAGACTCACATACCTTACATAAGCTCCAATAAAATTAAAGTCTTCAATAGCATATGTTGGATACCTATAATTTTGTAACAAAATAAAAATAGTTAAAACATATATATCAAAATAAAAGTAAAAATTAGCAGTCTAACAAATAAAATAACACGACAAATGTCATATAAAAAAATTAGTGAGTAGAAAAGATTTTGGCAATTAAAAGCCAAAATGATATATATAGAAGTGGTAAATTATCAACCGAAATTGAACCAAATGGAAAACAAATTCTAATTGTAACTATTTTCAACTTTTATTTTCACAAATGGATAGTTTCAATCCATTTCAAATTCTTGTGGATGATTTTGAAAAATCAATCCAAGAAATGTAATGAGAATTGAGGGTGGGCGAGTTTCAAAAGGAATGAAATTTTAGTTCTTTTTTTCTCTTAAGTAAAGAGAATAATTGGTTAGAGTAAGTGTATGAAACAATGAAGTTAATATCGTACCGTACCGGTTGGTGAGGTCGGTACGTACCGATTTTGGTATTTAACCGAAATGGTACAACGTCAGTTTTCGTTCGATCAAATTTTAGGCGTTTC